GGCGGATTCTCAACCACTGCGCCACCAGGGAAGCCCCGACCAGCTTTTTAATATACAGATTCCAGGACCTGCTCAAGGACAACTGAATTGGAATTCTGAGGAATGCTCCCAGATTGTTTTGTTTGCTTTTGTTTTAATTCATCTGTTTTATATTTCCCAGGTGATTCTTATGCAACCAGCCCACACTGATGCACAGAAGAGTTTTCAGAACCACTAGTTTTCCTTTTTTTTTTCCCCCTGTTGCTACGTTTATTCCCTTCTGGGAATAACTTGTTATCCCATCTGGAACGTGACCAGAGTTGTGTATCCACCCCTTCCCTTTGCAATACAGCAGTAAAGGTGGACAGCACCCCCTCAAGAGAGAATGGGTGATGGCACAGTGATTAACTAGTTATGTCAACCCAAAAGGAAAGTGAATTTCAGGGACCAAGACTTAGCGACAGTGAGGCTGAATCCTGCTTCAACCACAGTAGTTCTGCATTTATCTGTTATATATACTGCACTTCCTTGTACATTCGTCTGAAGGAAAGGTTCCATTGCAGGGGGCAAAACGTTTGAAAAATATTGCCTTTTATAGAACCATAACATAACCAAAACACATTTCTTCTTCAGTTACATTTTAGGCAAACAGAATTTTTTTCTATTTTGGGCTACCCTGAAAAATTTAAGTATCATCTATAACATGGATCCTGTGGAAAAATATGAATCTGAATTCAAGATGACAAAAACACATCTCCCTCACCACCAGCAACCTCCCACTGACGGAGCAGCAAGATGGGATTTGTTGTTGCCTCCCTGAATACCCTCAACCTCATCCCCAAGACTAAAGTGACCCCTAGCTTGGAATAAAGGAAACTCTCCCTGAAGTCAGAAGGGAACCCCTAGTCCGTCCCTTCTCCCCTTAACCACCCCCTGCAGTGGCCACAAGGACTGGAGGTCGTCCAGTGGAAAGAGACACCAGGCACATTGATTCCCTGAGGCCCAGGAAACTCCCCGCACCAGACCCCTGGCTATGCCAATAAGTGCCCCAATAAATATTTTATAGGCAAAGAGGAAGCTACCGACCCACTGCCATTACCGTATGTTTGAGTACGTGCTTTGGATTGCTTTGAGGATCTAGCTATGAATCATCCACGTGCTCCCTGGGGAAGACAACATTTGTGGAGTTAGGGACACAGATTAAAGCAGATCCACGTGGTGACCTTGTTCCTAGCCTCATGACTACAATATCCCAACCAGGCAAGGCCAAAAACCCACCGCGGTAAGAATTAAGGCATTGCTAACTACCTGATTTGCCAGACTTGTGTTTCTCCTCTCCTCTACCTCTGCCTAACAAAACCACACTCTAGTGACTGCTGAGTCGGCACAGGAGCCAAAAGTCCTGTCTGTTCCTGGTGCTAACTAATGAGTTGAATCAATGAAAAAAAATTAATTCATAGCTGAAAACAAACCAATCCCAAGCATAAATAACCCACATTACACCACATGTGTCTTCAAGGGAATACATTTATTTAACTCAAATTTCTCAACCAGCCACATCAACAGCTCCAATAATGACCTATAGGTAATGACCCAGTAATAGGTAATGACCAGTAATCGGTAATGACCTATGACATTTGAATGCTTACCTAGCAGACCTGAAGGAGCCTCAGCTGCAAAAGACTGCACTGAGCTCGCTAAACTGTGTTTATTGATATAGGGAAGTTAAGACTCACACATTTCCTCATATATACAGGAACAAAGTTTGAAACCAAAGAGGTTTGGAGAATAGTCCTCCTAATTATTAAGGACAATGCCTTGGGCATTCCAGTTATTAAGAGATTGCCTCATGATTGCACTTGTAACAATAAAACCTTTGATTCATTCATATATTAAATAATAATGGCAGCCAAGTACCAGGCACTGTGCCTGGCCTGTTTTCTAATCACACATCCCTAAATTCCACCTTCCAAATACACTGGGTTGCTCACAATGCCCAGAATATGCTCTGCTCTCTCCAGGGCTCTACACATCCTGTTCCCCCTGCCTGGAATGTCCTTCCCCACCCTCCATAGGGAGTGTACACACACACACACACACACACACACACACACACACACACACACACCATTGCTTTCATCAACTGCCAGCACAAATATCTCATTCTCATTCACTCAGCTCAAAGGCCATTCCAGGAAGTCCTCTCCTCTCCTATAGTAACATGTGCTGCCCCAAGTTTGTCTCACCGCAAAATGGAGCCTGTTTATGTGTGTCTCTCTTCCAGTGGGCTCTGGAGAGCAGGAATTTGGCATTGAGAAGCAGTTCCTTTTAGTGATAGAACACAAGCCCTGGAACTAACTCCCTGGATTCTAATCCCAGGTCTATCTCTTAATCACTGCATAATTTGGGGCAATAATTTAATCTCTCTGGGCCTCAGTTTGCTCATCTTTAAAATGGGGATAACAACTGTGCCCATCTCCTTGTGTTATTAAAAGGATTGCTCAATACATGTAAAGTGCTTAGGATAACACATTGATCTTATAATAGAAAGAGCCCAATAAATGGTTTTCTAACAATTTCTCCTGTAGAAAGGTAGGGAAAACCTACCTGTGTACACCTCCATTATATTGTGAAAGGGTACTATAATTAAATGACTTATCTCTTTTAAAATGTTCAAGGATAAAAGTGGCAAAGACCTATAGAAACAAGCAGAACCAAATTAAAAGAAAAGCAAGTACTAGGAGAAGGTACTTGCAATGCAATTAACTAACAAAGGATGTTTCCAGCAAAGATTTTCAGAAAAGAAGAAACAAAAACCCTCCTATGAGTCAATAAGAAAATCAGAGACTATCTAGTAGAAAAATAGGCAAAGGGTATTAATTATAAATAAGCATTTCACAGCAGAAGAAACCTGAATGACCTATATAACTATGCAATGATTCTCAGGGAACTAGAGGTACCATTTGATAGCCGCTAGATAATGCCACGTGTTGCTGAGGATATGGGAAAACAGAAACTCTTGTATGGGGCTGGTGTGGGTAAACAGGCACAACCACTTTGGAGAGTATTTTAAAAAGGAAAATTGAAGATGTGTAATTCCACTCCTGGGTGTCCACCCTCCAGAAGCTCGTGCACGTGTGAACAAGGAGACACGTTCCAAGATGTTCACTACAGCATCGGTTGTAATAGCAAAAGAAGTAAAAGCAACTTAACTGCCCATCAGTTAGATGCGTATATGTCAAAATGAATAAATCTCAAAAATATAGTGTTGAAGGACAAAAAGCAAGGTACAAAAGCATATTGATAGTAAATGCAAACTGTAAAACTCAAAACAACACTAAAGATTATTTAAGAATACATACAGATGTAGTAAATGTAAAAACACCATGCATGGGAATGTGACATGGATATGACATGCCATCTTTAGGCTAGAGAAAGAGGTGAAAGAGAGGGGGTAGGTTTTGACTTTCATTGTTCTATTTTCTTTCTTTAAAAAAGAGAGGCAAAGGAAATTTGAAGTAAATATAGCACAGTATGAAATCTGAATTGTGGGTACATGGGTTTCTAGACAATTATTTGCTTTTCTAATTGCTTTAGGTATTCAATAATTAAAAATTTTATGCCACGTGAACTTATAAATAAGAAAAGGTACTATAAAATTAGTGTTTCTAGGTATATTTCAAGAAACTGAATATTCAGACCTTTAATAGATACTCCATACCTTCACTGATTCCACTAAATGGATGACTGCATGAGGGGATGGGCAGACGGAGGCATGGATAGATGGATGGATGGATAGACAGATGAATAGGTGGCTGGATAGACTGACATTCAAATATATAAATATACAGAGACAGAAGAAATAAAGTAGCTTAGTGAAGTGAAAAGTTTTAATAAAGTTGTATAAAATGAAGTGCTCAGGCTTTGGAACTGAAATCCCAGCTCTGCCAACCCTTAGACTGCTGCCTTGGACAGGGTCATCATGTGAACTGCACAACACCAAAGGGCACCATCTGCACAGACGACAAGGTGAATGGCGCCCCCTGGAGTTGTCCGACGCCCCAGCCCTGATGGATAAAATGCCGTTACCTCTCTGAGCCCTCATTTCTTTATCTGTAAAAATAAGTCCAATCATACCTGCCTCACAGGGCCTTTAGGAAGACTAATGAGACAATGTATGTGAAGTGCTTAGCACAGAATGCAGCACACGGTAAGGAGTGAGAACATGGTAACCATTATATTATCCAGGTGGTACTAGGAGAATGGGCACTAAGTCTAGGGTTCAAGAATAGGTTACCGTGCAACAGCAGCCCTAGGAACTGTGTCTCCTTAGGATTTAAAAAAGTCATCCACTTTCAGTAGGAAAGTAACACATGTACCTAAGGGCATACCTAGCGAGTTCAGGATCTTGGTGACTGTAAGTTTTCCAGCAGGCACTGGAGTGTGTTAAAGCAGCGGCCTTCCAATCCACAGTTCTGGGGTTCACTGGAGCACCTCAAGTTCAAGAGAGTAGGGTTAGGGTGGGCTACTGAGGGCCCAGATCCTCCCCCTGCCATCATCAGAGCAAATGGGGCTTTCTGTGCCCTTAGATGCAGGCATCTCTTGGCTGATGTGAACGATGTAAGACTGAACAAACATAAATCCGATTCTATGTAACACTTTCCACAAAGCATCTATAAAATGTTCACGGTGCATAAACATACACAGCAAGCTCAGCCATGACGTGTAAGGTGCACAGAGAGAAGGGGGCGGGGAGTGGGCAGGAGGGAGCAGCAACACGGGGCGGCTGGAAGCCACCTCTTCCCTGTTTACACTGGCATCACGCAGAAACCAGTTTCACAAGTTAAAATAAGCTGGCTTGCGCGTGCGCGCACGCGCACGCACACACACACACACACACACACACACACACACACACACCAGACTTAACATAAGGTCTCCCTGAAGGGCACCTCTTTCCATTCTGTGTCTACATAACAAACCACTCCAGAATTTAGTAGCTGAAAATAACAGGAACCGACCAGCTCTCCTGACTGTGCACTTTGCTGGGTGATTCTTCTGCTTTACTGGAGGGCTTGCACATCCTACTGCAATCAGCTGGCGGGCACCTGAGCTGGAAGGTCCAAGATGCCTCCCGGCACTCAGGGCCGGGGGCTAGCTGGGGGGCCTCACGTCTCCACACCTCCTCCGTGTCTTCTCCCATCCTCTGCTCCGGTGGTCTTGGCAGTCTCAGGGCAAGGACCCAAGAGGAGGAGTGGGCGCTGCAAGGCATCTAGAAGCTGGCGCTGGGCTTGCAGTGTCACTTCCACACATTCTACTGGTCAAAGCAAGTCAAAAGGCCACCAGACACAAGGGGATGAGAAGCAGATTCCACCCCTTGATGCTCTGGAGAAGCAGGAAAGTCCTCTTGCAGAGGGGTCTGCAGGGACTGTGGGAGGCATCGTAAGAAACCACCTGCTACAGGGCCCTTGGAAGTCAGGCATGGACTGGGCGGGGCTTCTGCCTATAATTTGTTTCCTAAGAAAAAAAAGTCCATGGTTAAAAACCACTCCATTAGAGCAAAAAGGCCAGAAAATACTATGAAAATAGGAGTGAGGAGCATTTTTTTTTCTCCTGAAGAAAAGTCTTCCTGGCAGGAGCAACAGGGTTCCTGAGGAAGGTGAGATTTCTCCTGCACTGAGCAGTGCAAGTCATATCGATGTGGCCAGTGAAGATGGTGAACAAGTGACTGGGGGAGGGGAGACTGGCCCTCACTGGAGCAGATACCTAAGACTTGTCCTCCTAGGACAATGACAATGGAGTGTGATGCTCGTGTGTTGACAGGCCAGGCTGTCAGGTAAGAGAGAGGTGGGGCAAGGTGAGAGGAGCCCCGCTGGCAGGGGAGGGAATGGCACTGAGGGAAGCAAATGCAGAGAGAGGCAGAGCTGCTCAGAGACAGGGACACCCCTCACCAAAGGGACAAAAGGCTGAAAAGTGACCCTCTGGAACTCTTCCTTTCCTCTTTTGGAAAGAGAGCAGGAAAAATAAGAAAGGCTTTGTCAAAATAGCAAAGCCTTATTAATACAAGAACTGGACACTAAGTAAATGAGAAGAGAGTTCATAATGCCCTGACAACTCAAAAGAAGAGGACGAAGGAGAACAGAACAGAATAAGACCGAGATTCAGACAATAACCAAGCCATTCCGCCCCCCTCTAAGAAACAATCCAGCTCTCTCGGTGGGGACAGGTGGACACGCAGAGTCACACTTGTATATGTGGGTTTATAATTGGTTTCATTTTATTCCACAGTAAAGTGGGTTAATGGTACATCCATATTGTGACAACATTCTCTAGCAAATGTCCTAATTAGGAACCCTATCTAGCTTTCCATTATTTCAACACTGTCCAAATCTGGGTAGACCCCAAAGACCATCTGGAACCTGGACTTCTGCCCGGGGAAGCAAGGGATTGTCCTTCATTAGACCTCTCCATGCCCCACCTCTCTGAAAGAGAGACAGAGTGATGGTGAACACACTGGAAAACAGCATTCCCTGCTCAAACATTTGGTTTTATGATTTTATCTTCCTTGTAAGTGACCATGTTCATGAAACTTCAAAGGAAATTTTTCTGGTGCTTTGGCTATTTAAAATTAACTGCGACAAGCATGTGTTTAAGTATGCATTGATGTCTGCATACATATGCAAAACACTCATCCAAGAAACAGCAGAAAGTACCGCTATCCTTTATTTTATCTTTAAACTATTTGAGTTTGAAGGGGAAGCTTTTTAAAAATCAAGAATAACTTCAAAATGCAGAGGGGAATTGCCCATGAAGTAAAACCATTCCCATTGATTTATCATTGTATTTCTGCAACCATTGCTTGCTTCAGTAGCTTGTCACTGTAGTGGGTGTGTGTAGGGGGCGGGTAGTCATATGGATCTCACGTCGCAGATAAAAGCTGATATAGATTTTAAAAGTCAATCATAAAGCTCCCCCAAGTGGATATTTTTTAAACTACATCAAGAAACCAGCCACTGTTATCTAGGATTGTGATCAACCCTGAGGCCCCATATAGGCTTTTGATGAGCAGCAGTGACCTGGCTTATCCATTATTTTGTACATAATTTAATAAGATCTGCATCTTGGGGAAAGAATTCTATAAATGTTAAAGAGCATCTGCAAAAACACTCCCCCTGGCTTCCTGGGAACTTAACTCAGCCTAGAAGCTGCCTGTGGCTACTCTTGATCTTACCTGGACTCAAAGGATCCAGGGATACAGCGATTTACAGCTTCTCAGGGGTGGAAAATCTCCCTGTGGCCCCTCTGGAAAAGCTCCCTGTCCATTCAGTTGTGTTCCTTATTCCACTAGCTGGGCTGATTATACTGAATTTCTTGGCACCCCTGTTAAGCCTGTCACTTAGATTCCAGAACAAATTAAGTTTGTTGAAGGCTCTGCTCTTTCTCTCTATTAAAATATTCATATCTACTCTAACAACCTGATAAAAACTGGCTAAAAGCCTTGCGGTATCCCCTACAGGGAGTGCCATTTTTAATGAACCCGCAAGCATCATAAATAAAAAATAACTGGTCTTAATAAAGAATTGATAGAGCAGCTCTGGCCCCAGATGGGTGTCAATGGGGAAGCTACTCACAGCCTTGGGAGACCCAGTGCAGCAAATGAGTCTCCCAGTTAGATAGGGAAGGCCCCCATCCACCAGCAAACTCCACACAAGGGCAGCATCAATGAATAACCTTCCATAAAATGGTTAAATCTAATGGGTCTCAGTGGGGGTGGATGGTAGAAGGGTGACATGAAGGTCCTTCATGGGTGGTGATAAGAGTAATAGCTAACATTTCTTGAGAATTTACCATGTACCAAGCATTATCTTCCCAGCAAACCTACCAAATGGGCAGTATCATCCCCTCCTCACAAATGAAGGCTGACAGAATTTATATAAGCAGCCCAAGACCTGAGTTCCAACCTAGGTCTGACCCTAAACCCAAGTCCCTGCACTAAAGGCTTGATAAAAGCTTCAGAAACACTGCTTAAAACTCTTAATTCACTCCAGTTATTTTTTGGCAGAAGATGGGACATGAGGTCAGCAATCGCAGCCTCCACATGCCCCTGGGGCCAAGGACCCTGGCTGGAATCCCGGCCCCCTTCCTACCAGGCCAGAAGGCTGCTCACTCTGACCCCATGCCAAGGCCCCACAAGGTAGCACAGGACCCAGAATCCTAAGCTCCAGAAAATAAACTAAATATATACTCTCACCGCTTCTGGAATCAAGGCAGAACTGCAGCCCTGCCTCTGTCATTTGGGGATTGTGTTACACTAAACAAGTTATCTCATCTGTCTGAGCCTGCAAACTCGTCCATCAAACAGGGATGACAGCCTTAGCTGTTCACACCCAGACTTGTTCCAAAAGGATTTAAGGCAGCTAATAACACCGACTTCACAGAGGTGGTCAGAATAAAACATGATTTTACTACCTATTTATGACAACAGCACTTGTTTTGAGAGACTCTCCATAAAGAGCCCAGCACGGAGCCTGGCTCACAGTTGGCTGGCAGTAAATATGTCCCTGCCTCTTGCCCTGGACCACTCACAATCCTCCCAGCCCTCCCGCAGTGCCTTCCCAAGGGCTCCCCACCCCACTCGCATAAGCCTCCCACCACCCCACTCGCATAAGCCTTCCATTGCTGTGCCTGCTCCTTCCCAGCTCTTCATCCTTTCGTGACCTTGGGATGGAGGGGAGGAAGGTCAAGAAAAAGGAGCTAAAACCACCCTGGCTTTCCGGATTTCGCTCCTCAAGTGAGTTCACAGGACAGGTGCTTAATTGGACAAAGGCTATTGTTGTAGTGATGTCCCCTGCAGCAGAGGCTGACCTCACTTCATTCTAAACCTCTTTCCCACATAATAAGGGCAGGAGGACAGAGGGAGGCCGTACCTGAGGTAGCCCAGAGGGTGACATCCACACAGAGCGGGGCACTGGCACAGGCAGAGTCCAGATTAGCAAATTCTGTCTTCTTCAATCGTACTGTTGTGTTTAGTTACAAGTTTCAGATGAGTACCATTTTCGAGAATGCTAGCACTCCAGACTCCACAGCCAGACCACGTTGTGGAACCTCAGTTTTCTCATCCATAATACTGGGATAGTGATAAATCATACCTCGTAAGGTGGTTGTGAGGCCTGAGTGAAGTAATCCATGTGAAAGCGGGGCATATAGTAAGTGCTCCATAATATTTAGTTTTTATTATCGGAGCTAAAATAATCTTGTGCTAGCCTCAGAATCTGGCGGCCAGTTAGAATGCCACCGTTGATAAGGAAGAAAACATTCGAAGATGCAAATCACAGGTTTACAACGAACTTTTGACAATTTGCGTTGTTACGAAAACAAAGAAGTTACCATTCAACTTTTAAACAGTTAGCTATATTAGAAAAAGACTGCCTGTTCAAAATCAATGCAAAAATGTGGGACTGATTACCAAAGATGGTGCTGCAACAAGCAGTATCCTCTTCCTCATCCAATGAGTCTAGTGTGATCAATTTTTTTTTTTTTTAATGTATGCCTCTCGTAGCATCATGTCAAAAAAAGTTTCTTAGGTTCAGGGTGTGAGAGAACCTAGCCACCCTCAACCCTCACCCCAAGGCCATCTTTAAAGTCTAAGTGGCATCAGGGATCTTCATTCACTGACAGCTAACAGCTACATGACTGAAAGGTTTTTTTTGTTTTTTTTTATTTTTTATTTTTTTTTGCGGTACGCGGGCCTGTCACTGCTGCGGCCTCTCCCGTTGCGGAGCACGGGCTCTGGACGCGCAGGCTCAGCGGCCATGGCTCACGGGCCCAGCCGCTCCGCGGCATGTGGGATCCTCCCGGACCGGGGCACGAACCCGCATCCCCTGCACTGGCAGGCGGACTCTCAACCACTGCGCCACCAGGGAAGCCCCAACATGACTGAAAGTTAAAAACATTTTTCAATGGACTGTTGGGGTCAGAGAGAAGAGCATTCCTTCCACCCACTACCCAGGTCAGAACCTATGCAGGGGTAAAGCCAGGAGGCCCAACCCTGGTCTTGTCTTAGGTGGGAACGAGAAAGGTCAGGATTCTTCTTGCTCAAAAATAGCTCCCTCACAATCCCACCAATTGGTTTCACTGAGTCTACAGAGTTCTCCTTTTAAAAGCAAATATTACATAGCAAAGATTCTAAAGAGATGCTCCACAGTTTGAAACTGGTTTTCTCTAGGTAGTAGGATTGTGGGTGATTTGGGGTTTCTACATTTTTGTTTACCT